CACAACACACACCACACACACACACACACACACACACAACGACACACCACACACACACACACGCCAAATCACACACGCACGACGCCACACGCCACACACAACCGCGCGCGCGCACGCACAACACAGCCGCGCACACGACCGCACACGCGCACACGCACACGCACACGCCATCACGCACACGCCACCACGCACACGCACACGCACACGCACACGCAACAACACACAGCACACACCAACACACACACACACGCACGCACAACGAACACACAACACACACACACAGCACGCACGCACGCACGCACGCATGCAGAGCCACGCATGCACGCACACACACACGCACACATTCCGCTTCCTATTTCGCACAACGACCCGCCCTGAACGCTACTGCCCCGTTTCAGTTTTGCAGGACACAAGCAAACTGTTCGCGAATTCTCGTGCCAGAGCGCACGCTGCTGGCGTTCCGGACGGAACATACGGATACAAGTAAATCGACCTAAAACGGGAAATACTGCGATTATATTAACAGGTAAACGCACATGTTCTGTAGTGCAATGCCCGATTCAACAGCTTTCGCAGCAATACATCTGATAAAGCCTGTTGACAGTGCATGCTTGCTATGCTATACGTTTGAAAACATTGCGTTGTTTACGCGCTTATTAAATCTCGGCGCTACGTTGTGCTATCACGTGAACTGTTATTGCAGTTGAACTGCCAAAGCAGCTACGCGCCACATCACCCCAAAGCACACTCATCCCGCTGCATAAATCCACACTCTTTACATTCAATTCCACAAGACGTCTACCTTACCTTGGCGACAAGCACCCGCCAGTAACCCGCTCTGTCATCATCACGCACCTCCCCGCCCAAATAAATCCACACTCTTTCCTTCAAAATTCTTCACTCTTCTCTTAATAATTCTTCACTCTTCTTTAAATATTCTTCACTCTTCTTAAATAGATTTCTGATTTTCTTTGCAATAATTTTACTCTTCTCTCAATAATCTTCACTCTTCTTTAAACTATTCTTCACTCTTCTCTCAGTAATTCTTTCACTCTTCTTTAAATATGCACTTCATTCTATATGCCTCACTCTTCTTCAATATAATTCCTCACTCTTCTTCAATAGAATTCTTCACTCTCTCTAATAATTCTTCACTCTTTTTTAAATAATTCTTTACTCTTCTTTAAATAAATCCACATTCTTTTTTCGATAATTCTTCACTTTTCTTTTACTCATCTTCTTACACGTCTGCCTTAAACACACTGCAGCCCCGATGCCTTCTACCATCGCGACTATTTTCGGCGATCAACTCTCTCCGACGACGTCTACGCCACCCGATCGGTCGAACCGCTACAACAACTGCGACGACATCGCGTATCAACGTTTCGCGGTCAGCCGCACGCGCTGGACGACGCGTCGGGCGTCATGCCGTCGCATGCCGCAAAGTACGCCGAAGATCGACAAGCCGAGGCAAGCGTTTCAAGGCCGACTGCAGGCGTCCGACGCGCCACCACTCGAATCGCACGCCGCCGCCTCAACGAGCGGCGACGATGTTCACGCGACGCATGCCGCCGCTACAGCTGACGCCTTCGTCGTTGCCATGACCGCTATGACGTCACGGCGGTGAGTGAAGTGGGCGCGGTCGGTGGGCGGATGTGGCATGGTATTACATTCCTTTCTATGAGAAAGGCTCCCGTCTCCCCAAAATGTTTCTACATTGGCGCGGGCAGGGGCGTGTCGTGTACGCACATTGCGCATGCGTGTGAATTTTGATCTTTATTGCGTGGTATGATATGATAATACTCAATATCCAAGCAGCCTAAAATACCTATAATTGGATACCTAATATACCTAGTAAGACTTTAATATTACGTATAAGTGGGCCTATCGCTAATGTAAGTTTAGTATATGTATGTCATACGTCTCATTTTCGTATGTGTATTACTAATGATAAATAATAATATTATCCTAAATATTACCATTTACATACATATATAACATACTCACAGCGCCCTATAGTGCCACGAGCCAAACAACTTTTCATACCAAGTTGGGGCAAATGCTGCCATCGAACACTTGCGTGTGTAGATCAAGAAAATATATGTCGATAGCTTTGTCAAGAACTCAGTCAGCCTTAAGGGGGTCACGGGACTTTAACTACATTAAATCGGACCTAAACGGGAAATACTCGATTATATTACCAGGTAAACGACAGGTTCGGTAGTGCATGCCCGTTCAACAGTTGCGCGGCAATAATCCTTGTAAAGCTGTTGACATTTGCTGCTGCTTTGTATAATAGGTTTGAAAAACATTGCGTTTTTACGTGTTTTAAATTTCGTTTACGTGTTTATCACGTGAACTTTTATTGAGTTGAATGCAAAGCAGCTACGCGCACACATCACTCACAAAGCACACTCATCCCCGCGATAAATCCACACTCTTACATTCAATCCACAAGCGTCTACCTGACCTTGCAGACAAGCACACGCCAGTAACCCTCTCTGTATCACTCATCGCACCTCCCCCGCAAATAAATCCACACTCTTCCTTCAATAATTCTTCACTCTTCTCTCAATAATTCTTCATTCTTCCTTAAATAATTCTTCACTCTTCTTTAAATAATTCTTCATTCTTCTTTCAATAATTATTCACTCTTCTCTCAATAAAAGAGTGAAGAATTATTGAAAGAAGAGTGAAGAATTATTTAAAGAAGAGTGAAGAATTATTGAAGAAAGAGTGAAGAATTATTTAAAGAAGAGTGAAGAATTATTGAAGAAAGAGTGAAGAATTATTTAAAGAAGAGTGAAGAATTATTTAAAGAAGAGTGAAGAACTCTCAGTTATTCTTCACTCTTCTTTAAATAATTCTTCACTCTTCTTTAAATAAATCCACACTCTTTTTACGATAATTCTTCACTCTTCTTTTACTCATCTTCGTCTGCCTTAAACACACTGCAGCCCCGATGCTTCTACATCGCGACTACTTTCCGGCGATCAACTCTCTCCCGGACGACGTCTACGCGATGGTCGACCGCTACAACAACTGCGACGACATCGCGATCAACTTCGCCGTCAGCGACGCGCTGGACGACGCGTCGGGCGTCTGCGTCGTGCCGCAGAAGTACGCGAAGATCGACAAGCGAGGCAAGCGCTTCAAGGGACTGCAGGCGTCCGACGCGCACCACTCGAATCGCACGCGCTGCCTCAACGAGCTGGCGACGATGTACGGACGCATGCCGCTACGCTACAGCGACGCCTTCGTCGTCGCCATGAGGCTATGACGTCACGGCGGTGGTGGGTGGGCACGTGTGTGTGTGGGGTGGGGGGGGAGGGGGTCGCATGGTATACATTCTCTTTTTTCTGTAGGAAAGACTCCCGTCTCTAAAAAAATGCTTCTACAATGTGCGCGGGCATAGGAGTGTCGTGTGCGCAAATTGCGTGTAATGATTTAATCTTTATTGTCCATGCGCATGGTAGAGGGGGCCGTTTGTCATTAGGGGGATGTATACCATGCTACAGCGGCGTGAGCTCCTTACCCCCTCTGACCAAGGAGCTAAATATAACAAGGCGAGGAAGCGGATTGGCTGTGTGTCTTTCGCCTCAAGGGCGCCATCTATGGACCATAATCAGCTGAAACGGCTGTGCAGACCCGAACTCAGAGCCAATAGAACACTAATCTGTTCTAGGCCAATATGGCCAAATATGGCAAAGATTTGGGCCAGATATGGCGGCGCTTCCTCTCCTTGTTATATTTAGCTCCTTGCCTGTGACGAGCTTACTCCCCCCATAGACATATATGGCTATGTGGGCGTGTTTAGCAGGGCGCATGGCGCATTTGATTGGCGCGTGGGGAATTGACATTTATTTGCCCATGCGCAATGTATAAGGGGGGTATAGTCGTAACGAGGGAATAAGGTCGTCACAAGGGAGGGAGTAAGGAGCTCACACTACAAGGGCAAGACTGTCAGGATGGAAGTCAACCTTCGTAGACAAGATCCAGATTCAGGGGTGAGCACACATGACGATGTATTAGTTTCGCAAGGCAATGTTTAGAAGTGCCGCCAAGCAATTAAGATCAATATTGATAAAGCGATCGATCTCCCCGGCATTTCACATGTATTGCACATGTACTTAACATCAGGAGTGTACAATGACAAATTTGTCGTATATTTGTCATTATACACTCCTGTTAACATGTATGAATATAATATAAGAATGATTTTAATATTTATTGTGATATTATCGTATTTGAGTGCTTTTCAAACAGTTTTATATACTCATATTACGTATAAGTATCGCTATGTAAGTTTAGTATTGTATGTATACGTATATTTTATATATGATATATTAATGATATAATATTATATTATCTAAATATACATACATAATATATACATACTCACAGCGCCTAGGAGAGAGGAATGTTTCAGTAATAATGTCAGTCCCGATAGACAAGCAACACGTATTATCTTGACGATAAACATTCTTTGAAATAAATACACATTAGTTTTGTTTAATCTCGCTTTCAATTCTCTCTCTTTCTCTCTCTCTCTCTCTCTCTCTCTACATATATCTCTCTCTCTCTCTCTCTCTCTC